CCCCGCCGCCGCCCCGCCCCCAGCCTAGAGGACGGGTCTGGGGGGAGGGGGGCGTGTGGCGACGCTGCGGTCCACCAGGGCCGAGCCGCTGCCCCTCCGAGTCGGGCCGGTGCCCCGCGCTGCCCTGCAGCCCTGCAGCGTTCGGCGAGGTGCAGGAGCCCCGGGGCGCCGCGGCGCTAGCCCGGCTGCAGCGCTTGTCCCCGGGCTCGGGCTGCAGGCCCAGCACCCCCCAACCCCCGCCCGCGCGCGTCCGGTCCTCCCGATGACCCGTGTCCCGGGGCCTGCGCCACTTACGAGTCCCCGTCCTCGGTGAGCTGCTGCTTCCAGGGCTCGGCGCCGTGCGGCGCCTCCTGCGGCTCTAGGCGGATCTCCCGCAGCTCCTTGACCATCTGCTCGTACTCCTCGTCCTTCATAGAGTCCAGGCCACTGTCGTGGCGGTCGTCCAGCAGCCGTTCCTTCTTCAGCCCATCGCGGGGGCCCTCCATGGCCCACTCGGCTGCCTGGAACATGGCTCGGGCGAGCTGGGGGTGCTGCGGGTGCGCTGGGCCGCGGGCTGCGCGCTGCTTCCTCGCTGGAGCGCTGGCGGACGGGACGGCGGCGCCGGCTGCTGTGGGCTCCGCAGCGCCGCCCCAGCGCCCTTATAAACGCTGGCTGGGGATTTCTCTGGGGCGGGGTCTGGCGCGGGGAATTTCCAAGCCAGTCAGACCAGAAAAGAGAACTGGCTTCGTCCTCTGCTAGGGGGAAAAAGAAGTCTAAACCCTGAGCTGGGGTTCATCGGAGAAACTCCCTGCGATGAGGCACTGGGGTCACGGACAGGGAACTTTTTGATGAGCGCCGAGTGGCTGGAAAGTCCTTCCTACCAGGCCCTCTGCCCCCGGTACTTCCCTGCAGCCTGCACCCTGTAATCCTGTCCCTCTGCAAGTTAACCATTTTTCCCTGGGGTTTCCCACGATCGCTTTGAATTGGGGTCGTCGGCTGCTGAGATCCCAAGGACGCCGACTTAATGGGCAGTCCTTCTTTGGGGTTTGCCAACCTGCCGGTCCTTTCCGTTTTTTGATCTTTTGAAAACGCAAGAATGGAAATGATGGCTGGGTGTAGGGATTTGCTTTCCCCAGACTTCTCTCTAAGGGGAAGGACGCACTGTGATTAGAAGGCCAATGTGTTTCTACCAATACCAGGCTCTTTGAAGCACAGGGACATTTAGCTTCGCCACCCCCACCCCTACGCACCCCGCCAGGTAGAAGTTGTGAAAGCTTTGGAGTGAAAACCTAAATCCTTGGAGAATTCTCAAATAACTTCCTAGGGAAGAACAGCCCTGTTGACTGGGGGAGGGACGAACTCTCCATGTGCGGGGAAACTGCTGAATAGGACCAGGATTTTTTTCCCCCTAAGTAAAGCGAGGTGCTAATCTTTGTAGTAGTGGTTGTGGATACCTTGCAATAACAAAATAGCTATTGTGTTCACGAGTAGCGATTTCGTTCATGCGCTCTGACCTACATTGTGCTGCTGCAAAGAATGGATCCTGAGCCTACTTCTGCGTGCAAACTGAGCAATTTTCCAGGAGCACTTGGAGAAGGAGACTGAAGAATGAGTTTAGTTAGTGCCTTAACCGCGATTAGACCTTAAGGACCACTAAGAAAGTAGTTGCCAGGCATCCTGCAGGAGGCTGAAGGCAGCCCCATCCTGCCCGCCCCTCCTTGCTCCGTTGTCCCGGGGGACGGTAGCAGTTGGACTCAGTTATGCCACCCGGGTTGAAAGGGGTTTGGGCTCACTGTGCTCTGGTTTTACCTGCAGAAATAGAATTTACGCTCTCCACCCCATCTCCACCTCCAAGTCTGCAAGCCATGGACTGAATTCTACTTGATACAGTTGGTATAGGCAAAATAAAGCAAACTTCAGTCAGAGCTCTTCAGGATTAGTCCCAGGAGGCCTCTATAGTTCTGCAGAGATTTCTGGTGATTATTGCAGTCATCTTTACCTTGACTGGCCATGTACTAACCAACCCTTCCCCTCTTTTCAAATCTCCACCCTTCCCCCAATATTAGAATGTAAGAAATCTGACTCAACAGAGATAGACCAAGTATGAAGGGGAAAAAATTAAAATCAGATAGAACCTCCAGGGTAGTAATGATCACATGTTACAATGAAAACTTCCCAGGGATAGACACCATTGTCTCTGTAGGCTTATCATATACAAATATACAATGATTGCGGCAAGGTGAAACGTGACTGCAATCGGAGCATCTCAATTCTGGGTTCTGTCTTAACTGCACATTAGTTGGAGAGATCAGTTAACTTTTTTGTGGTATACTTACTTGTATAATAAGATTAGATTTGAATGCTTCTTAAGGTCTTTTCTAGCTTAAAAGTCCTATTACTTGGGTATAAATTTTTGAAAGAACTCCAGCACTTTATGTATCACATTGTTAGTTCTCAGAAGTAATCCTGTGAGATAGATATTGTTCCTACTTTCCTAAAAAGAAACTGAAATGCATAGAAATTTACCCAGGAACCCCTTGGCAGTATATTAATCATTTGGCCAAAGCAGTCTTAGGATTAACACTTCTGAAAACACACTGTGAAAATCAGACTGACTACCCTATAATTTGGAATATACTCAAAACTATTTTCTACTCCAACTGTTAGGGAAAATAAAGGGTGAATGTCCCCCAACCCCCATCTGGGGATATTCATTTCTTTTAAATATGTACAGAAACATCAAACTCTAAATGTCCCACTTATAGAGGATACATCAGAAGAAGATATTTGGCTGCAGGTATAAAAATGGTTATAAAAAATATAAATAAATAAATAAATAAATAAATAAATAAAAATAAGGTTTTTTTGGTACCACCTTCTATGGTTTTATATTTCTGGTAGCCTTCAGGATTTGGTGGTCTTTATTCCTGATTGTTTCGTGTGACACCTAGTGGTAAAAGTAAGGCATTCCTTGATTTGTCACAGTGCCTTCTGAAAAAATTGGGAGGTACTGAGCCTTGATGAGTTGTCCCTACAGTGGAGATTTCCAAGGAGGTATCTTTTGTTTTCCTGCAACTTTGGGAAATAGTTTTGAATAATCTGATCCAACAGGTTTTCTCCCCATCATCTATAGCGCTATATGGTTTAAGTCAACAAACATTACAATATCGGTAAAAAAGAATATACACTTGGAAATTAGAACCATGAGCAGATTGGGCAGAAGACAATGAAAGGGTCTGATTTTGATTTGGAAAGACCTTTATATCCCGGAATGGTGGCTCACTCCTGCAATTTCAGCACTTTGGGAGGCTGAGGCGGGAGGATTGCTTGCCACCCAGGAGTTGGAGACCAGTCCGGGCAACAAAGTGAAACTCTGTCGCTACAAAAAACACAATTAGCAGAGTGTGGTGGCAGGTGCCTGTAGTCCCAGCTACTTGGGAGGCAGAAGTGGGAGAATTACTTGAGCCTGGGAGGTGGAATTTGTAGTAAGTTGTGATGGCACCACTGCACTCCAGCTTGAGCAACAGACTGAGAACCTGTCTCAAAAAAAAAAAAAAAAAAAAAAAAAGACCTTTAAGCTATATATCTTTTCCCATAGAAAAACAAGGCTGGTGTGGTGCCTCATACCTGTAATCCCAGCACTTTGGGAGGCCAAGGTGGGCAGATCACTTGAGGTCAGGAGTTCAGCACTGATTTTCTCAGATTTTTCTTCTCCTCGTTGTCAAACATTTTAGCTATCCATAACCATTTAAAAAAAGCGTTAAAACATTAGCCTGGGTGCAGTGGCTCACGCCTGTAATCCCAGCACTTTGGAAGGTTGAGGTGGGTGGCTCATGAGGTCAGTAGTTCAAGACCAGCCTGGCCAACACAGTGAAACCCCGTCTCTAATAAAGATACAAAAATTTAGCCAGGCGTGGTGGTGCATGCCTGTAATCCCAGCTACTAGGGAGGCAGGAGAATTACTTGAACCCAGGAGGCAGAGATTGCAGTGAGCCAAGATCACACCATTGCACTTCAGCCTGGGCGACAGGGCGAGACTCTGTCTCAAAAAACAAGTTAAAAAAATGTAGACAACTAATTTTTTTTAATGGTTAGAGCTAATTTTTAATATCATTTGGCCTTTTTAATGCATAAGGCAAAATAATAAGTTGTACTTCAAAGCTGCTTTGTATTTTGGCTCAGGATGCGGCCAGAGGAAAGGACAGGATGGCCAGTGATGCTCCAGGAGCACCACCAGGGGAGAAGGAGCATCACCAGGGCCCAGTTTGGCTGCAGCCTCTTCAGGCACTCCTCCTTCATGGAACATACACAGTATGGACAAAATGTATTGCCTGAAGTGCTGGTGGTCTGGCAGCATGCAGAGGGTCTACAGATCCAGGCAGGTGGTGCAACATCCTCAGGTTTTCTTGATATCATGAGCAGGGTGGCAGTGCCAACTGGCCTGGCCAATTAAAACAATTGTTTTGGCCCCAGCAAATTCAACTCTGGAATCAGGTTAGCCATTGCTCAGTACAGCTAGGCTGGAAGAGAGATGAGCCATGACAGAATTCCTGAAGAGCAAGCAAGGCAGGTGCACTCCCAACTGGCAGCCCCACTGTGAAATTCTCAACTTATATTCTGCTTTTGGTCTCAGGCTGTCTTCTTTCCTGCTATAGTGGTAGCAACTGTCTGCATAGTCTTCAGAACATGGAGTCCCCAAGCTACGTATCTTTTCCCATCGAAAAACAAGACTGGGTGTAGTGCCTCCTGCCTGTAATCCCAGCACTTTGGAAAGCCAAGGTGGGCGGATCACCTGAGGTCAGGAGTTTGAGACCAGCCTGGCCAACATGGTGAAACCCCGTCTCTACTCAAAATACAAAAATTAGCTGATGCAGTGGTACGCATCTGTAATCCCACCTACTTGAGAGGCTGAGGCAGGAGAATCACCTGAACCCAGGAAGTAGAGGTTGCAGTGAGCCGAGATTGTGCCATTGCCCTCCAGCCTGGGCAGCAGAGAGACTCCGTCTCAAAAACAAACAACAGTGCTCACTTCGGCAGCACATATACTAAAACTGGAACAATACAGAGAAGATTAGCATGGCCCCCGCACATGGATGACACTTCTTTAATAAAAACAACAACAACAACAACAAAAACACAACAACAACAAAAACAAAAAAAAAACCCAAACCAGCTGTCAAGGACCTTTATTTGTAGTGAAAATAGACTGCCAAATCCTTAATGTGTTTGCTTCACTACAAATTCTGCAATTTAATGTAAATCAAAGCTTTAAAGGATCTCAAACTCAAATACTTATGCATAGGAAGCAGGCGGGTTTCATAGATGAGTGAAGCAGACCATTTGAATCCAAAAGGAGTGGGGTCTCCACCATCTTAGGGTGGAAGTGTACTTCCCTCATACTTAGCTCAGACAACTTTGGCCATGTAGCACTTTCGGTTCAGTAGTGACCTTCCTTTTTTTTTTTTTTTTTTAATGGTGCCGTGACTTGGATCCATTGTTAAAGGAAAAAAAAATTGGCCCAGCTTCGTGGCTCATGCCTGCAATCCCAACACTTTGAGAGGCCAAGGCAGGAGGATCACTTGCATCCAGGAGTTTGAGACCAGCCTGGCCAACATAGTAAGACCCTGTATCTATAAAAATAAAAATAGCCGGCTCTGTGGTTCACGCCTGTAATCCCAGCACTTTGAGAGGCTGAGGCAAGTGGATCACGAGGTCAGGAGTTCAAGACCAGCCTGGCCAAGATGGTGAAACCCTGTCTCTACTAAAAATGCAAAAATTAGCCAAGTGTGGTGGTAGGTGCCTGTAATCCCAGCTACTTGGGAGGCTAAGGCAGGAGAATTCCTTGAACCTGGG